AGCAAATTTATTCATAATACTCTGCCATCTCATTGTGGCTGCCCAGATTTCCCCATTATACCAGCATCAGAACACTTTATAACCAAACATCCTATGTCCCATCCCTCCAGTACTATTAATCATTTGTCCTTCAGGCAGAAGGAAACTAATCTCATAATAAATGATGTTTTTGTCCTTTTCTAGAAAACATCAAAAAGTACTTATCAATAGCTTTTGGTGACAACATCCATTTTTGAATCATAAACTTAAATCTATGGAAAGTGAGATTTCATTTTGAGGAAAAGGAAAGTTTGTCTTCAAGGAAACTTTTCAGCTACTTGAGGCAAAATAAGAATAGTCTAATGAAGTAAACTAAGAATAAAAATGGTCTGTTTGCGTGGGTCAGATGTGATTGTAAAATTCATGTTATAATTCCCTGCATTTCTGATGTCTAGAGATGCATGTATATGTACATGCTGCATGCATCTCATGAGTGTGTGTGTGTGTGTGTGTGTGTGTGTTTGAAAAGATAAGAGCTGCTTACTGTCTGCATACATGTGTTTGGGAAAAATGATTGAATATTTGCATTTTGCTGGCTGTGATTGTGTAAGGTAGCAAAGGGTAGATTAAGATCATTTGCCATTAACAATTTGTGGAGATCAGTGTATAAATGATAATAACATATATGTTCATGCAGGTACTTTTTTCCTCACATACCTCGTGTGTAAGTACATGCGCCTCCCCTAGCACATACTTGTCCTAGGGAATGAGAATCTGTGCATTTCTGAATCCTTAAATACATGTAAGATATACTTTTATTTGAGCATATGTAAATTTGTCATGTATCTGACTCAAAAATATTTCTTATCAATAATATAATACTTTTTCATATGACAGCATGTGTTTGAGTTTCTGAGAGAAAATGTGGACAGTTTGTGTGCACATGTATGTGTCTGTGTTGTGAGCGGGCATGCACATAATGTGAGCCTCTTTCTTGCGTGTGAATAGTGGAAATGACAGACAATATATGTGCTTCTTTCATGTTTTCTAGGTATGTACGAAGTTACCTTCAAAGCTCCAGAGACACGTGCACCAATCAAATATGGAGGTTTCCTCTTGGTGACTAAATATCCTTATAAAAGCTCCATAAGCTTTTCTCAGTAGATACCTGCTCCAAACCTCTTTCTACATTACCTTCTATCAAGCATATTCATTATCTGACCTATTTTTAATAAACAGGGATAGTCTATGAAGTTTATGGCAAACATTAGGAACCTATGTCCTCTTGATTGCATGTTTGGGCACTCAGAAACATTTAGGGAGCACAGAGAGACAAAGCAGCCGCAGGAGAAGACGGATACTAGAAACATGTTGGGGAGAAAGGACTCCAACAAAGGAAAATAAACAATATCTTGGATAAACTTATATGAAGTGTTCATGACGGTAAAACAGGAAGATTCTGAGAGGAGATTTTTATGAAACAAGAAAACAAAATGGCATTTTAGAAAAGGAGATCAAATCCAGGAAAAAATTTAAAATAACTGAGTTGAAAAACTGCAAAATAACAGTATAAAAGGTTTATGAAGCGCATATACTTGCAGCTTAATATAAAGCAGCAACTAGTCCCACACCCATAAAAAAAATAAAGAACCTCTCTTGAGGAAATTATGGTCTATTGAGGAGGTAGAAAGATTAATAACTGAGAATGGTGGGGACTGTACTAGAAAATGTACCCCCCCCCCCCGTATGATAGAAGTGGAGTTTGCTTAAGGACAAGGGTTCAAGAAAGCAGGAGTTCAAAGGAAGAGAGGAACCTGTCTGATTTGCAACTTCATGACATAGATGACATAAAATGACACAAAGTATAAGGAGAAAATTTCACTTTAAAAGTGTATTTTCTGAAAGTGTAAAACTCAGTCATGTCTCTGAGAAATCACAGTACTTCTGGTAGGCAAAATTCCACTTTAAAAATGTATTTTTTGAATGTATAAAAATCAGTGACATTTCTGAGAAACCACAGTACTTCTGATAGATTAACATACATGGGTAGAAATAAAATAGAAATGTATTAAGCTGTAAAGGTTGCCTGAGGCCAGATAGTGAAGGGACATCTTTGACAAATAAAGATGTGGACTTATTTTAAAGCAGCAGAAAAATAAGACACCACAGTCATATTATCCAATTGCAAATTGGAAAAAATATAGAGAAGTCTGTATGAGGAAAAACTGGTAAGCAGGACTGTCAGTGAGGAAACCAATCAGGATAATACACACCAAAGTCTCAGCAAAGCTCACAGACCACTGAAAAGGGAAAGAATAGAATACAAGAGAAAAGCTTGAGATCAGACAGTGGAGTTTATGAATAAATGATATGATATTTGCTATGAGAACCAGTATGATATTTTATATGAGGACATAACTTTCCAAGAAAAAATAAAATTTTAGGATTATAGCCACAATCATCTTTTAATCCTATCCGTAACTCAGTGTCCTTCTCCTTGTCATTACTATTTTAATCAGATCAATTTAATGCAAATCCCTTCAGAACTATTTCTAGACACTTACGTATAAATGGAACTATCTGGAAAATAGAGTACTTTAGGAGGCTTTTAAAACATTTATGACAGCATAATGTTGTCATTTGCATTCTTTTTTAACTAAACAATATCTTTATTCTTAATTGTTGAAATTATTATGCATCATAACCATCTTTGCTTAACTATCAAACAAATAAGAAAAGCTGTGAACTCTATTTTTTCCCCCTTGCATAAAAAATGTTTTTATGCTTCACTATGCAAATAAGTCTTTCTGGCTAATAATAGAGCAGAATGGTCAAATCAAGTAAATTTCTTACTTTAATGAAATATCTCAAAAAGTTTTCACAATTTCATGACTTTGAACAATCTTGATTAAGAGCAAGTCTTTTTCTTAGCACATAATTTTGTTAAATCATTTTTTTATTATGTAACTGCTAAGAAGGATTTTATTATACATTTGCTTACAACTGTATTTATTCCTTTAAATCGCTCTTCACCTTTGGCCAGACTTTCTATTAGATTGCCTATATCTTTCTTTATTGTTCTTCTTATCCACTCATTAAGCAGAAGTTCCCTGGTCCCCTCTCCTCCCAGCTGCTGGCAACCACAATTCTCCTCCCTGTTTCTCTGCGTTTGTTTACATACTTCATGTAAGTGGAATCATGTGGCATTGTCTTCTGCACAGATTTACTTCATTTAGCATGCTGTCCTCAGGGCCCACCCAAGTCACAGTGTCAGGCAGATTTCGTTCATTTTTAAGGTGGAGTGGCATTCCATTGTCTTTGTACATCTTATATCACTTACCCATCCTTCCATCTGTGGTCTTTGGATTGTTTCCATATCTTGACTATTGTGGATAATGAGACAATAAATTTTGGATAACATTTGAGATCCTAATTTCAATTCTTTTGGGTAAATTTCAGAGTGGATTATATGGTAATTCTATTTTTTAACATGTGTGTGTGTGTGTTTGTGTGTGTGTGTATATTTTTTTTTTTTTAGGAAACACCATACTGTTTTCCATAGTGTCTGTACTATTTGACCTTCCCACTTATAGTGTGAAAGTGTTTTAATTCATTCACATGTTCACTAACCTTGCTAGCTTTTGGTTTGGGTTTTGACATTTGTCACAACCTAACAGCTGCAGTGATATCTGATTGTGGTTTTGATTTGAATTTCCCTGATGATTAGTCCTGCTGGATGTCTTTTATACCCTTTTCCCATTTTTGAAGAAACATTTTCCTTTCCTTTTTCTTTTATAAATTCAGTTCTTTGAATTTTGTGGTTAAATTGTAAGAGCTCCTTATATGGTTTGGCTATTAATCCCTTAACAGATGTATGGTTTGCAAATATTTTCTCATTCTAAAGTCTACCCTTTCATTCTGCTGATTATTTCTTTTGTTGTGTATAAGGTTTAACTTAGATGTTGTTAAATTTGACCAATTTTGCTTTTGTTGCTTATATTTTTGGCATCATCAACAAGAAATCTGATTCTAACATCATGAAGCTTTTCCCTGATATTTTCTTCTACTTGTGGCGTGTCTTTTATACATAGTTCAAATGCTTTTAATTTCCCTATTTATTTCTCCTTTGACCCATTGATAATTTAGAAAATGTTGTTTAAAGTCCAGATTTCTTTTTATTAAGGATCTCTAATTTAGTTTCATTGTTGCTAGAAATATATTTACATGATTCAGTGTTTTAAATTTTATTGAGTTTTATCCCCAATCGGTCATCTGTCATACAGAATGTTGTATATTCTACAAATTTACTATTTGACTTGTTATTTAAGATTGTGCTTTTTTGCTGATTTTCTATTTAGTATTGAGACAAAGTAGGAAAGTTGGGGCTTTTCCTTTGCAAAATTTGTGAGAATTGGTGAGGGTGATGCCAACAACTCACTTAGAAAGTCATAATATGTTTAATTTTTGCCATTGTGATTTTTCCATCACTCCTGAGGAAATTGATATCAATACTGAAAGGTAGAATTCAGAAGAAAGTAGATACATGGCAGCCAAAATTCATTAAGAAATAGATTAGTTTAGGAAAAATGGGAGACCCTTGATTTAGTATAAAGTGGAAAATGGTGACCTTAAAGAGAGCAGTTAAAGTGAGCTGAAATGGGAGCATGTTAAAGCAGCACAGAAGTCAGATTGTCTGGAATTCAGAGAAATAGATCTGTGTGCCCTCCCCTCAGCAGTTTGGTATACAGAAAGGGCAATAAGTTAGAAAGGAAACTACAAGGAAAGTCAGGATGAATAGAAAGTGAGAAAAAATAAGTTAGCAGGGAAAGAGGTTGAGGACAACTAGAGAAAAAGCCTTAATACACAGCATAACTGGGGTATAGATACTGGAATGCATGTAGGTGTACAAGGAAGTGGAAGGTGGGGGGAGGAGAGACAGATTGGTTTAGAAAGATTCACAAAAATATACCATAACATAAAATAAATCTTTTTATTCAGTTTTCAGATTCCAGATCTGAGCTATGTCAACATTTCCCATCCAGGCAGCCTCCAATAGCAGCTTCTCAATGGACCCCACCTTCCTGTTGGTGGGCTTGCCAGGCTTATCAACCGTCCCCTCCTTGTGGACATTACCTCTCATCACTGTCTACCTTCTTTCTGCCCTGGGGAATGGCACCATCCTCTGGATCATTGCCCTGGAGCCGACTCTCCACCGTCCAATGTACTTCTTCCTCTTCCTGCTTAGTGTGTCTGATGTTGGCTTGGCCACATCCCTGATGCCCACCTTGTTGGGTCTTGCCCTTGCTGATGCTCATGCTGTCTCTGCCTCAGCCTGCCTCCTACAGATGTTCTTTGTCCATGTCTTTTCTGTCATGGAGTCTTCCGTTTTGCTTGCCATGGCCTTAGATCGTGCACTGGCCATCTGCCGCCCTCTCCACTACCCAAGACTTCTCACTAATGACGTCATTATCAAAATTGGCCTAGCCATTGTTTTCCGATGCCTGGGTCTCCACTTACCGCTGCCATTTCTTTTGGCTCGCATGTCCTACTGCCGCCCACAGGTCCTGACCCATTCTTACTGCTTGCACCCAGATATAGCCCGTCTAGCCTGTCCAGGAGCTCGGGGTGCAGTCTATAGCTTCTTTGTGGTCCTGTCAGCAATGGGATTGGACCCCCTCATTATTTTCTTCTCCTATGGCCTAATTGGCAGGGTGTTGCAAGGTTTGGGGTCCAGTGAGGATCGCTGGAAGGCTGGACAAACCTGTGCCACCCACCTCTCTGCTGTGCTCCTCTTCTACGTGCCCATGATCCTCCTGGCACTCATTGACCGTCTTAGGGTTCCAATCCCTCAGCCTGCCCATACTCTTCTCTCCTATATCCATTTCCTGCTCCCTCCATTGATAAACCCAATTCTCTATAGTGTAAAGATGAAGGAAATTAGAGAAAGAATATTCAAGAGGTTGCAGCCCAGGAAAGTGGGTTGTTCTCACTGACAAAGATGTCTCTCCCCATCAACGGGTGTGTGTTTACCTGAGACAAAGTTCTCCATGACTGAGAACTCAACTCACCAAGCATAAAATGGAATGCCAGTTACACATCAGCTCCTTTCCATGGCGGTATCTGCCTGTTCCTAGAAGTGTGTGTATTTGTATATGGATGAAAGCACACAAGCCTCAGACTCGCAGAGGTCTACCTGTCATCACCCTACAGATCAATGGCATGGAAAGGGCCAGAATCAAGTATGTGTCTTGTTATTTTGTATTTGCCAGTTTCCCCAGCACATCAATTCCCTAATAGTAGAGGAAGTAAGGAATTGTATAGCAAAGGAAAAAGAAAACAAAAGCATTCCCACCCAACTGGTTGGGGGTCTCAGTTAATGCTGAAACTTCACAAAAACAGAGATGTGTCTGATCCACAGTGACTGAGTAAATGAGGAAGACACACATAAGAATCTTCAAACTAATATCTATGCTGTACAATTCTGATCAGGTCAACAAAAGGAAGGGGAAAAAATTATGTTTTTACCCTGTTAGTTTACAAAATACTAGTATAATACACATGTCCATTTATAATTAAAATTCCAAATAGTTTAGGAAAAATAGAATAAAAATTACCCTAAATTGGGCCCTCCCTGGTGGCGCAGCGGGTTAAAGCACAGCACTGAGAATCTAAAGCCGCTTCCGCATGAGTTCGATTCCCGCCTGCCCCGGAGGTGACCACATGGCGTGGCAGACCTCTCCTGACCCGCCCGCTGCTCCCCTCAGCAGTGTACCTCGTTGATCTGCCTGTTCTGTTCCCCACTCTGTCTCTGGTGAAGCCTCTCACCGCCCCTGAGCCTCTGGCCTATACCCCAGTTCTGTATGCACAATAAATAAAGCTTTAAAAAAAAAATTACCCTAAGTTATCATTCAAATGTAACTATACTTATTTATGAGTATATGCTCATAAAGGTAAAGTTTTCTATAGTTGGAATATTATCTACAGTAGATCGATTTTGTGTCTTAATTATTTTCCTGCCCAATCACATCACAGGTGTCACAGCAGGCAGATTGTACTTCTTTTCACTTTCATTTTCAGCTGTGCTGTGAGCAGTGCTTTCTCTGTGTTAAGAGCACTACATACCTTAAGTAGGTACTATCCCTTCAATCTGGCCCCCAGAAGGAGTCGCATGCAATGGTCCAGCACCAAACCAATAACATGGAGACCTTAAGCAAAGTCATCAAGCCAAAGCAGCCGGGAGCAAGGTGATCTGTTGTTCATCAACCTGATGGACAGCAAGTATTACAGCAAATGCTGCAGTTGTAAGCAACAGAGAATTTGCAATTCACATGCAGCAAGAGTGGGCTAGCAGTATAATTGTATTCCTATTCTATACCATAATTTCTTTATGCTTTTTTTTCCTTTATATCTTTAAATTATTAATACATAAATGTGAGGAACATGCTTTGTATAACAAAAACTGAACACTATATAAATTTTTCTACATATTCTTTTTCTTATAGCCGAAATGCCACCAAAGTAAGTATGGATATAATTCATTCAGATTCATAATATCCACATGGCATAGATTACAATTTATTCAACTGTTTCCTAGGAGTGGGCATTGGAAATTGTTCTTAGTTTTATGCCACTATGAACAATGCTACAATAACTATTCTTTAAGAGTTTTGCATGTGAATTATACCTTTATTTATTTAAGACTGATCTCCAGGTCGTCACTGCTGACTTCAAAGCATTATAGTTATTTTTCATTTCAGTGTGTATTTGTAGATTATTCCCTAACGGCTATATTAGTTCATATCTCTGTCCTATGTAGTAGTGTGTCTTTTCCTTCCATACCCATCAAAAATTCACTGTTTCCTTCAGTTTTGTTAGTGAGAATTACCTCATTTTAGTTTATGTTAAATTTCCCTATTAAGTGATTGTTTTTCATATATCTTATTATTATTTTGTTTCCTCCCGCATGAATAGTGTCCTCAAATTACCTTCATCAATTTTTGATGAGTTGATTGATTACATCAACTCAATAAATTTGATTATTTATGTTCTACTAAATTTTGCAAGAGGTCCTAATTTCCTGCATTTACCAATGTAGTATTTTCTTTGGTTTTGCTTAGGCAACCAAATTTTAAGCAAATGTAGATGGTCTTATATACTCAAATCCTCTTTTATTTTTCTTCACAATTTTTGTTTCTGTCACTCTTTTAAAAAGTATCTTTTACTTCTGTGTTCTGTGTAAAGCCTATTATGTTTTTCTGCTAAAATTGTCATAACAGTTTTAATTTTATGTTTCTATATCAAAAGTCCAAATTTAAATTACTTAAAGGTGATTATGTTCTAGTGGCAAAATCATCTATTAAATACATTCTCTTTTTTCTTACTGAAATAAAATGTTGTGTATGCTACCATGTGTATACACTGTGTTACATAGTTTTAATGACTCTTGATATGTATGAATGTCATATATCTGTGTGTGTACATATATATATGACCCAAGAATATATGGTAACTATTTTGCTCTTCTTAATATATATTTTACATATTTTAATAAAATTATTAGCTTTATTGAAATTGATTTTCATGTTACCTTTAAATGTAGGATTTTGTTGCTGTTATGAAGAAAGTATTTCTTCATATCTATCAAAATAAATATTGCTAGATAAATAATTTTATTGTTCATCAATATATTATTAAATTATCATATATTTTGCCAAGTTATCATATGCATTATAATGTTTTTTTAAATTTTTGTGTTGTATTTGTATTCAGAACATTTAAGTTAAAATAGATAACGTGTAATTTTTCTTCATCATACATATTATTCATTTTCTTGTTTTAGTTCATTAAAATCTCCAACCCATCATAAAGGACTGAGTGAAAAAGCATTAATATTTCACCTATTAGAATAATGGTTGACTGCTAAGTATTTGGATAAATGTTATAACATTTAAGTATAACATTTAATTTATATTCTCATTTTATTTATAACAAGTTTATTTAGTGATCTATACCAAATGCTTTTTTAGCATCTACTAATAAAACATTAACACTCTGATCTAAAATGTTGCTAAGTCTTAAGCCAGAAAGAGAAAGAAAAATACCAGATGGTTTCACTCATAGCAGGAGTATAATGGACCAGGCGAGAAAATAACAAAAATAATGAACAACCATATACCAGAGACATTTTGTGGGGGTAGAGTGGAGAATGGGATAAAAAACAGTGGGGGGGGATGCACGGGATTATGGTGATGGCACACGGGTGACTTGGTGATGGGAAACCCGCGGGGATTACAATTGAGATAAAAAAAAATGTACAAAATGATGTAAAAATAAACTTTTGTATTAAAAAAATGTCGATAAGTCTTCTGATTAAGAAGAATACACTTCAAATGAAAAGTAAAAACTGAATCCACTTATTGCTAAAACACACATCACATGTTAGAATACATTCTAAGGTGCAAGACTAGTTAAACCATCATGATATACAAACTCCCCCTGCTAAACGTGGAAATGCATTATAGTTCTACAGAGGGTAGAACTATTTTCCAGGCTTCATTTCTCATCATCAGCTTCTCTGGTAGCTAGTGAGGTTAGAGATTTGAATACTTCCTGTGGAAATTCTTCTTTGACACTCATAGAAGGCCAGGTCTCTCCCACATACTATATTAGGCATGCAGGAATAGAGGGAGGAGAGGAGGCTACTTCTTTGGGTACCCACCTCACCCTTCCATGTAGTGGTTGCTCTTTTATCTGCCATGTGGATTACTTGTAATTCTATTTTAACACTTACTTGTCAATTTGTGCACGATTCTAATTTCCTACTAATAATTATTTATAATCAACTTTTCTTTTTCAAATCATTTTGTGGTTCCTGTCTGTGGGTAGAATTTGTGTCCAAATCAAAAATATATTTTTGTTATTTTACTGTCCCTCCCTTTTTGAATTCAGTTGTTCTCAGTCATGATCACTGGAATCACATGGTAAATTGACAACTAAAACATTATTACCAATGGTCAGTGGGTTGACAATGATTCCTGAAAGTGATGGCATCACAATTACAAAAAGTCTCACTTGAGGTTGATTAGACATGGTTTAGGTATAGGCTGGATATTAGGTTATTTGGTGAGTGTAGAGCTCAAGTCTAGTCTCCCATCCATACTTAAAACATTAGCTAATACTTTCTGCATGGAAAGTCTTAAATACAACTGACTGTTGATTAGGCAACTGACAGCTCAGGGTATGCTGTAAAAATCAGAGAGCCAATAAAAGAACATTTAAGGGAAACTATCTCTTCGGTACACTTCTAAGAGTCTGGGAAATGATTAAACTAAAAGATTAACAGAGCTGTAGGCGGCTGTAGGTATATAAAGTCAGAACACTAAAAAAATACTGGGAATAAAAAATGAAGAATCCTGGAGTGTTGATAAATTAATAAGCCTAAAAAAGTCTGAGGGTAATGCCTGACAAGGTGGTATTTCTCTTTTGCAGGATCTGTCCCCCAACAATTTTTATTTTATCCACACCAACAAGCAGTCAGCTCTCAGCAAATATTGAACATGGAAATGTGTTAACATTGAGGACAAAATGGATTAGCCTTTAAAATCATTGCAGAATTGATGGAGTTATAACTAAAATAAAACACTTGTAGGAGTGGTTCATTTTTAAACTTATTAGATTTGAGGCAGCAAAGGAGGTGGCTGGTGGTAAGAAAATAAATTGGACATATTTTACTCAGGATAGTCACCTAGAATTTTAGTACTTGGGTATATCAAGGATAATGCACTACTGGGGTGGTTTCCTGAAGCTTGAATTTGATTCATGACTACTTATGGCAAATTAGGTGGAGATATAGAACTTAGCAGAACAATATAAACCATAGAAATTTCAAGGCAGATTAATTGTAATGAATTCTCAGAACCAGAGATTTCATCATGTGATTATTTTTCAGGAAAGAAAGAAAAGATCCTCCTTCATTGAGGGGAGTTTGGGAATG